AAAATAGAAACTAAAATGCTGAAAATAATTCATAAATAACAACTTAAATTAGAGCCGTCGATTTACGACGCCTCCTGTGATAGATGCGCCAGATCTTCGTGCCGATGTCCGCATCACTTGTAGATCTCAAGTATTTCTTATCAATCTTAGAAAAACAGTGAGAATTCTTCACAAAAGTCCGTCAAAACCACGAAAGCAGTAGATAATTTGTATTATTTGATGAAAGGAAAACGAAAATTAGCAAGATAAAATTGATACTCTATTTGAGAGAAGGATCGTTCTCTCCCAATCTCTAGATGCCACTAGAGCCCAAAAGAAATCCAAGAGATCTCAAATTTCAGCCAAATTCAAGATGCCCTAACCCTAGGAAAAACAAAGTATTTAATGCATACAAATCAAAAAGAAATCCCTAAACAATTCCTACATTCAATTTCCCTCCTAAACTTCCTTAAAATTCCTTCCTAAGACACTCTCGAGGAATCGCGGCTCACGCGGCATCCGCCAAAGGCGGAATAGCGTCGCGGTTTCGCCCATGAATCGGTCCCGCTTGGACCGGCTGGACCGGTTCAATGGACCGGTCTAATAATACTCCCCTCCTAAAGATCCACCTTATCCTCAAGGTGAAAATATGCTCATGTTCCCGTGGAGGTGGCCATCCTTGAGATGGCTGAAAATCCATACCAAATTGTTGAGTCAAGGGCTGCACTAAAAGAGAAACATCCCCTCCCTCCTCCAATCTGATCGCATCCAACCTGTGTAGTCCCACCTGATAATCTTCCCTCACCTCTTGTATGTCCCTAACCATGGTCTAATGTGATGTCATGGATGTGGATAGCCCCGCATATCCCCTTATAACCACCTTTCTCCCATCCACCATTAATTCCATCGTGAGTGCTCCCTAATTGTCCTTGGATTCCCCCAAAGTTTGCAACCACTTCATCCTCAGGATGACATCAGTACTTCCTAACTCTAATAGGGGAAAGTCATCCCTTACTTGAATCCCTTGGATGGTCAACACCACTCCTCTACAGATCCCCTGGCCTTTCTCTACCATCCCTATACCCATCATCACTTCATAACAATCGGTATTCGCCAGCTTCACTACCAATTGGTCAACG